GCACAACCGACATCTCCTACACCTGACACTTCCACAACCTTGTACAATACCAGTCACAGAATCCTGTCACAAGACCTTAGCTGTGAGACAGATTTACAGCTTTTCTTTTTCCATGAATTTCAATTATTGCCATACTTCTATTTTATGGTACAATGTCTCCCTGGTATAAAAGAAAAGTCGGTGTGGAATTCTATGGCCCATGCAAAACATCATATAACTATGACTGCATTCTCTGTTTCACAGCAGATTGAACATTATCAACATTATCAATTATCTAACATAGAGCAATGATCAGTTGGCAGCGCATGTCCACATCAGTATTAGAGTTTACTGGAAGAAATTTTTTATGTATTTACTTCTTTTCATCTGACTCTAAAAGTCATCATTTCAAAAAAATATTATTTTGTGTAACTTTCTTCTGCAGCAATCCAAATTATTTTCACACTAACCATAAATGAATGTAGTGAGAATTGATGCAGAATGAAGACGTCTATTCATATTAAAGGAGAATTATAGGATGAGTGAAATACACTCATCCTAATAGTTAGAGCCGGATGAGTGTATTTCACTCTTCACTTTTAGGGAGGCAGAGCCAGCTGTCAATTAGACAATTGGGTGGATCCTGACAATATTGTCGGGATCCGTTCCGCCTGCAGCGCAGCTCTGTGCTGTCAGCATATAGTGGGAAATAGCCGCTATATGTTACGTTTTGGGTCACAGGAGGACATTAATAAATGTTACACTGTGGGGGTAGCCCCACTGGAAGGGTTAATAAAAATTTTGCCCAGAGTTCGTTAATCATCCCCTTTTGACAGCCTCTGATGACCCTGTGAGATGGACCTTGCACCTTACCCTAAGCCAGATCAATGTCAACACCATTCCACAGGACACTTCAAAACCTGTACACCAAACCACAGTACATTCACCAGCAGAAGAAGCTGAAGCAATTAAATGCACAGGTCACCCAGTTACATCATCTAGTTCTCTGCCTCTCAAGTTACTCAAAGATCCTATGCAGAAGCTCATGTGCCATCGCAGACCCTTTTGAGTCCAGTTCACTAAATCAATTCAAAAGCTTTTGAGACCAGCCACACGTTTCTCGAGATCCACACCACCAAACCACCTCCACCTGTCAAAACGTCACCTCAATTAAACCCATCTGTCACTCTGTTTTCCTCCAACACCTAAACATCAGGTATTAGATAACAACACCTCCAGCAATGGTGAAGGAGCACCTTCCACAAGAAGTCCTGAAAGTATTGATACATCAAACCTTGCTAAGTTCATGACCCACAGAGAATATATTAATACTAGGGATGAGCTTCAGGTTCAGGTCGACCATGAGTTTAACCTGAACCCAGGAACTTTTTAATTTAAGAAAATGACAAACTAATGCAGCCATTTGCATCTACAGCAACGAGTTACCAGCAATGCACTTTCTGACCTCTAAACTGTGGACAGATGGCTTAAAAATGGTTAATCATGAAGGTTTTCCAATGTGCCAGCCCCCTTCATATTAAAGCGGTTCTCAGCAGCCTTTGTTCAGTGTGCATTGGAAGAGACATAGAGTAGTTAGGGAAAGTTCACAGAGTGTTTGCAGGGAGAGATAGGTGCTGCTGGTGATTGCTGAAAACATCTTTATTTACATCACACCACCGACATACTGTGAGTTGGACAGCTTAGGGACAGATGACAGATTGCCGACGATGTCTGTATATACATTAAGTCACAGAGATACTGTGTATTGGACAGTCAGTTTCTGTTTAGAGGCTGGATCCCCATTCCCACCCAGTTTTTTTATTTCACTTTTATATTTGTTTTTTACTTTCAGGAAGATTTAAAAAAGGGGATTTAAAGGAGAAATACATTTTCAAAACTTACCCTTGCAGTGGGGCAACCTGTAAGGCTTAAGGGCTCATTTTGGTCTAGGGGATGGAATAAAGCAGATATACTGACCTGATCCTTGATCTCATGATGATCAGCACTTACCTCTCTCCCCTCTACTCTAGCTGTGGAATGTCTCTCTGTGTCCTCATGTCTAATGTAAGTCAATGGACCTGCATTAGACATGATGACATCAGTGCTCCTTAGACTGCTGTAGCCCAGAGTAAGAGGCAACGGGGACTGGTCTAGCAGCCCAGCAGGACTGAGGATTAGGTGAGTATATCTGGTTTATTCCATCCACTAGACCAAAACAAGCAATTAACTCTTGTAGTGTAGCAGTTTTTATCATTCCTGGAGTTCTTCTTTAAATAATGTGCATGTGTCACTGCAATATTATGGCAGGCTTTTTCAATTAAATAAATACACTGTAATATTTTTTGTTTTAATTAAAAACAGGCTACTGTCTCATCTGTTCAAAATGGGGCCTAGTAAAAGTAATTTAATACTGTGCACATACACTGCAATCTTTTGTGGGCTTTTTGTTCAGTGAAATTATTGCACTCAGGTGATCTTTTTAATTAAAAGCTGGCTGGTGTGGGTCATGTTGAAAATAAAGCCTATTGAAAGTGTCTACATACTGTGCACATACTAACTAAAATGTTTTAGGGCTTTTTGTAGTAAATAGTACTCTATTGCTGATTTTTTTAGATTAAAACCTGGCGGGTATGAGTCCTGTTGAAAAAGTGGTCTGGTGAAAGTGTCTAAAAACTGTGCATGTAGTCAATAAATATTTTGGGGTTTTTCAGTAAAATAAATAAACCTTATTTTTGACATTTCTGATTAAAAGGAGTTTGCATGTTCTCCCTGTGCATGCATGGGTTTCCTCTGGGTACTCCAGTTTCCTCCCAAACTCCAAAGACATGCTGGAAGGTTAATGGGCTCCTGCCTATATTAGCCCAATATGTATGCATGTGAGATAGAGACCTTGGATTATAAGCTCCTTGAGGGCAGGGACTGATGTAAATGTCCATTATGTAAAGCACTGCGTAAATTGTCGGCACTTTCTAAATATCAATAATAAATAATTAAATAAAAGCTGACTGGTGAGTGTCCGCTTGAAAAAGTGGCCTAGTGAAAGTGTTTAAATTCTGTGCATGTAGTCACGACTATATTTTAGATACTTTTTTGTCAAAAAAATACAATATACATTTTTTTAAAAATAAAAGCTGGCTGGTGTTTATCTTGTTTAAATAACTAGTGAAAGTTTTGAATTACTGTGCACATATCTACTACAAGATTTTGGTGAAATAAATATATTCTAATTAGGAATGCACCGATACAATTTTTTCAAGACCGAATATGAGTACCGATAATTTTCCTCAAGTACTTGCTGATACCAATTACCAATACCTTAGTGTCATGTGACAGTTTTTCTAAAACAATACAGACTAATAATTTAGGGACAATGGTGGAGTGCCAAGGACTACTGTGACCCTGGTAGTTCTGTCACTGACTCCAAGCTGTTGAGGGACTACAAATCCCAGCAATACATTATACAGCAATGCAGAATACTACAGCAAAAAAAGACTACAAATCAAAACAATACATTATACAGCAATGCAGAATAATACCATCAGCTATAAAGGACTAAGATCCCAGCAATACATTATACAGCAATGCATACTAGTATCATTTTCACAAGTACTTGTACCAAACCCTGGTGAGACCTGCACCCTGGTAAACCCAGCCCTGGTGAGACCTGCACACAGCCCTGGTGAGACCCGAACGCAGCCCTGGTGAGACCAGAAAGCCGCCCTGGTGAGACCCCGCAAATCCTCCAGGAACCGCACAGCCCTTGTGTGACCCGTACAGCCATGGTGGGACCGAACAGCCATGGTGAGATCACACACAGCCCTGGTGAGACCCCGCACACTCTTCTGAGACCCCGCACAGCCCTAGTGAGACCGCACACAGCCCTGGCGAGACTGCGCAAAGCCCTGGGGAAACAACGCACAGCCCTGGTTGGACTGTGCACAACCCTGGTCAGACCCCGCACAGCCCTGGTGTGACCCACACAGCTCTGGTGTGACCCACACAGCTCTAGTGAGACGACACACAGCCGTGGTGAGACTGCACACAGCCCTGTCAGACCCCGCACAGCCTCCTGAGATGCTACAAAGCACTGGTGAGCAACAAAGAGTATGTAGATTTATATTATTCTGCATTGCTGTATAATGGATTGTTGGGATTTGTTTTCCTTTATAGCTGATGATATTCTGTATTGCTACATAATGTATTGCTGGGATTTGTAGTCCTTTACAGCCAGTGCCTTACTGCATTGCTGTATAATGTACTGTATGTGTAGTTCTCTATAGCTGGTGGTATTCTGCATTGCTGTATAATATTTTGCTGGGATTTGTAGTTCCTCTACAGCTTGGAGTCAGTAGCAGAACTTACCAGGGTTGCAGCGGTTGCAGCTGTGATTGCGCCCTGGTGCTCCACCACTGGCCTAAAATCATTAGTCTGCATTGTTTTAGAAAAACTGTCACATGATGCTAAAAAAAGGTATCAGTAATTGGTATTGGCGTGTACCTGAGGGTATTGGTATTTGTACTCGGCCTGGAAAAAATGATATTGGTGCATCCCTTAAGTGAACTGTTTTATAGCTTGTGACAGGTGGGTTCTTTCCTAATTTGCTTTTAGTCGGGCCAAGAATGGGGTGTCTTAGAATTGCAGGGTGCCTGATGTCCGTTGGGATATCAAAAAGCCAAGAGGACATCTCATTTACACAGGGATCTAATGTGTCTTTTTCTATGTATAACCAAAGTTGGGGTTGTCCAAATTAACATCCAAGCTGGGTAAGGCTTTCTAATCACATTGGGTAATGGCGCATTTAAAGAAGTAAAAAAAAAACACTATGCACTGGTTTTACTGAAGTCTAAATGCTGCAAATATATAAAAGGATCAAATCCTTTTTATTTGCTGAATTAATTAATTAATCACAAACTGCTAGGTGCTTACAGAAGCAATCAGAAAAGGGGTTAAATCATTGCAGGAGGAGCGTCTCATTTTAGGCACTAGGACCTAGGAGCAGACACACACACTGGCAGGAATCCTTTGGCTGGGAGCTCAGATAACAAAGGCAGATTGGAAATAGCCATCATTCCAACAGCATCCTCAGCTTGTACCAGTGGCAGCACGGTGAGTAGCTGCTTTCCAGTAATGCATGTGTTAGCCTATTCATTCTAAATTCAGTGCTTGGCATATTACAAAGAATAGTTTTGGAAATTATGTAGAATAAACTATGTGCTTACTGAGACCACTTTTCACTCACTAACATACAGCCAGATTATTTTTTAAATCTAAGCATATCATTTCTAGTAATAATTATTCATTGTAGCATTGGTTGCGGCTATGCGCATTGACAACCAACTAATACGACTAGGCGTTAATGGATAGAATTTGAACCATGTACTACAATTATTGTGGATGTAAAATGTTATCATAGGAGTGGTCCAGGGGGGGCATCGCCTGCTGTGTCACATAGGTGACAGACAGCAAGTGGATTGCTGTGCTGCTTATCTCATACTGAGCGGTTGTTACGGTAACAGAGGGCTTGGTGGATGCATGTAAAGCTGTAAATGTAGATCTGTACCTATATTCTGCAGATTAAATCTTTTTCATTGATATGTAACATGGTGTTGTATGCTGTCCACTAATATTTGATGAATCATGAAATCAAAATAGCAATATATCATCTGTTAGGTAAAAAAGCAATATGTAATATGAACTCTTACATGAATAACAGGTTAATCTTTTAAATATATAGCAAAGAAAAAAGGCAATGGCTTAGGAAAGTAAAAATCAAAGCATGCTCAGTTAGCATATTAGGGAAAGAGAATGTTAATGAAAAGCAGGTATAGTATAGCATTTGTTTCCTAGAAATTTAAATTTATTCAGACAATGAGCTGGGCGTTACGTTAAGAGGTGTGGATTCCATTTCTTAGCTCTGCTACATAGTATTGTAATAATACATCCCCCGGTGCCGTACAGCCAGAGGTGAAGAATGCTAGGCTGACATATATATTCTATAAAACATGCAGAATGTAGAGAAATGGGAGAGGCCAATTGTCATGAAGTTAACCCCTTCCTTTCCATTGCTACATACAGTGTTGCAGCTGTGCTGTAGAAATATATTACCAGGTTCTCATGTTCCACCCATTCTCTGCAGCATGATGTCTAGGATGGATAGTAGAGATATAGTGCCTTTGAACAATACACAGGACTGATGTAAAGCCATTTGATAAAAGTGCTCGTTTTTAGAACAGATATTTCCATCCTGACTGCACCGTGCTATTGTGTTAGACTCTTTGGCACAAAGAAGTAATTTTTTTAAATTGGGTACTGTGGGCGTGAGACTGAACATGTGGACGACGGTTAGCTTGTCTAGAAGCTGATCAATAATCCTTTGTTGCTTGCTGTCACGTACTGATAGCAAATTTTATAGGTATGCATTTTCTGGATGATTCTAGTTTAAATACCATCCAAGGAAGTGTATTCAGAATAGGTATATTGTCTTAAAAGATATTTCTCTGCACAAATGTGTGTGTAGTTGCTTATATTTCTATACTTGAACATATCATTTGGATAATATAATTTCTCATTTTTATGAGATAACATGGCTGGTAAGGTTCAGATTCAAACTGGATTTCCCTGATCTACATATTATTAAAACTGGGAGGAGGTGCAGATATTTAAAAGTTTGTTGATCCCCAGCAATAGAAATAACAGCATAAGAAAGGGAACAAGATCATGATGGGCTAAGGTTCAATTACATTTAGGTTCACTCAGCCGCATTCCTTATGTATTTCTTAAACACTTTCCCCTCCCTACTTGCAAAGTATATTGCCACCTTAGGGTGTAGGCACTAAAACGTGCATGTTCATAGTGGACAATTTATTAGGTACACTTATCTAGGACCCATATAGAAGTACATATGGTCAATCATAATTCTCAGTTATGTGGTGGCATTTGAATGATGCTCAACTGGCATTAAGGGGCAAAATTAATCACTTAATATGTGCTGAGAAAACATTCCCCAAACACTACAACCAACTGCCTGATCTCCTCACACAAGACAGTATGTATCCATGGCTACAGGATATGCACACCATATTCTGACCTCACCATCTGCATGTTGCAGAAGAAATTGGGATTTGTTGATCATGTGCCCACTGTAGCTTCAATTCCCTGTTCTTAGCTAACCAGGCATGGTCTTCTGCTTTCATTGATCAAATTGTTGTGTTTTTTTATGCCCCCTTGTACTCCAGTGCAGCAAAGAGAGGCTAATTGAGTAGGGGGGTTGTTCTATCACCTTGGACTAGTCTAGCCATTCTCATCTGGCCTTACTTTTCACCACAAGGTTTTAACCCCAGCAATGCTGCTTACTAGATGTTTTTTTTATTTTTTTTCACCATTCTCTCTAAGCACTAGACACTGTAGTGTGTAAAAAAAATCCCAAGTCAGCAGTTTCTGAGATAATGCAACCATCAGGTCTGGCATCAACAACCAATAAACAGACAAAGTCCCTTGGATCCTGCATCTGATTCATGATTTCCTGATTGGCTACTTGTGAAGGTTTACCTAGTAAAGTGGGAGAGGTTGATTCCTAAATTACAGATTACAAAACAGGTTGCTCCACTTTGCAGTTGATTCGTTTTGAAAATGTGCCAAATGGCAACTATTTTTTTTGACTAACACAGGAAAATTTTAAATTGGCATTGTAAAATTATCTCATCCTAAAGAGAGGTCATGAACCATGGCAACTTTGTTTCAGTATATTCCCACATGGTGTACTGTGTCTTATTTGTACTTTGGCTCCATATCCTCTTGTCATCAAAGCTAATTCCATTTTCCGTAGCAAATGATTTGGCCATTTATCTTAATATTTGTCTTATTCATACACACAGCAGGGCTCATTTAATGTATTTTTGTAAAATTCAGACATCCTATGAAGTTATTTAGGCACAGCTGCCAATGAATTGCAAGCTTTCAGGGCAGGTCTGATGTGTTGCTGTGAAAAAGTTGTCCTAGTTGTTATTCAACACATGTTGATATATAAGGCCATTTATGATTATATAATATCTGTTATTTTTCGTTTCAAAGCTCACTGATTAAGTATGACCATCTAAACAAAAGTCACCCATGCATCTCATGCCTTAGAACTCACAAAGTATATCTGAGATCCATTGTCATAGAGATAGACTAAGGAAGAATAGGGACCATTAAAGTATCAGCTTGGCCCCCTTCCTTTCAACTGATGGAGAAGCTGTCCCATCTGCATTGCCTGTACTGACATGGCAGTGCATGCCACAGAGTTCTCTTTATAACCTCGATGCCATCTATGTTTTTGCAAATCTTGCTTAATGGCTTATGTCTGTGAAGGTTCTCATTCATCCAGATCATGGTATATCTGTAGCAAATAAATTAAAGCAACTGGACTTGCTGTATTTTTCTTGAGGACATTTCAATGGACATCCGACCAGCTTTCTCATTTCAGAATGACTTGTACAAAAACACTTGCCATATTTCCATATTTATTCCCAGAGATCTTTTGTACAAGTCATTCTGAATTGAGAAAGCTGGTCGGATGTCTAGTGAAACATCTTTAAGAAAAATACAGCAAGTCCAGTTGCTTTGATTTATTTGCTACAGATATACCATGATCTGGATATATCTGGATATATTTTTTATATTTTTTCCACTGAAAACCAATTCCCCTGGCAATTTTAAATATCCATAGAATGATTAGTGCGAGGCATTATATTTCTCTTCTGAAATTAGCCATGTAGTTACATAATCTACATTTTTACATTGTCATGTTAAGCTTAGACGGTCCTTTAATCCTATTTGAACATCCTCCCTCACACGACGCTTGGATTGCCAGCTTTGCCTCCGGTCATACTACTGGCAGAGTCTGCCATGTGATAATTGCCTTTCTTGTTGCATCCCTCAACCATGGCAACTGATTCTTTTGTGTGGGCTCAGGCTGCGGCAGAATCAAATAGATGACATCATGCCACATGTACGAGGAGTGTCTTTTATATTTAGGAAATGTGGCGGCTCGAGTAAGATAAAACAGATTCATGGTGATGAGTCATGGGAAATGCTAAAAAATGCTCTAGCCATAAGCATTTTTATAGACAAATTTCAAAATAAAGTGAAGGTTAAGGAAAAACGAATAAGAAACGAGTTGTAAGGCCTGCAGTCACACCTCTGCTATAACTAACAGAACTGGAATAAGATGACAGGGTGTGTGTTTTCTCTTAGGGCTCTGTGAGTGAGGAGCACCTGATATTTTTCTACATTATCAACAGACAATGTTACCCTGTAACAGTTACATTTTGTAAACTGTCTATGTACCCTAACATTATAACATGACATAAATGTTATAATATTTTCATTATTCCTCTCTTTGTTTAACCTGATGACACAGAAATTTGGCATGCACATTACATTCCCAGCATTTAACACATGCTGCCAGCTGTCAGCGTAATGATGAAGAAGTAGGAGTGCCTTTCTCAAATCGTGCTGGCTAGTCTTTAAACAAGGCCTGTCCATGATGTAGATGCCACCTGTCCCTAACTTCCAGGGACATCTCCAGGTTTTAATCATTGATATGTTTCAGATCTGATCATTATTTTACCTTGCAATATTTCTATTCACATTACAGTATGTTGGTATTTAAAGGTTAGCATTAATCAACAAGGGAACATCTAAAACTAAGTAATTGTAGTGTGCCATTGTCCTATGAAAGCCGCATTTTAAAAAGGAAGATTAGGCAGCCACCTGAAATATATTTTAAAATGCTGACAACTTTAAAAACACTTGAACACTAGGAATTGCCCTGTCGCCTGCTATCCGGGTTTATTGCAGTCCTTCACCATTATGCTTATGGCTCGTATTTTATTCATTTCGATATGAAACAGGTCTGGTTAACCTAATGCAACTTTTTCTCCTACTTTTTTGCTCAGAGGATTGGTCTATGTTCATAGCAGAAAAGAGTGTGATTCTTAAAAGCTGTAAGAGATATTTCAGCATGTTGTAAAATTGTAGGAAGTTTACTGTGACTCACTAAATATTATTTGTTAAAGGACAACTGTACTGGGATAAGTTGACTGTCATCGCTGACCGTTTTTCTGCTGCCTTTCTGTCTATGATTTTGGCACAGCATGCAGCAAGTGAAGTCAGAACTTCTGATATGCACATATGTTACAGATCACCAACTCAGAGAGGCAACCATTACATCAGTAAAAGGGCCAGGAAACTAGTGTTTCTAAGCATTGGTCCAACTCCTTGTATCATAGATAGTGGACGACTGCTGCCTGAGTCTTTAGATTTGGACATGGTCAGGCAGTGAAAATAAAAGCCAATAGCGCCAGAGATGACCACTCCACTGGAGAAATATATATGCAGAAGTTCTACATGTCGCTGCCCCACATCAGTCAGGGAGACTGTAATATCTGATGAGAAAACAAAAACAAGGGGCGCCTCTTGTTTTTGTTTTCTCAGTGATCAAGATGCCTATAATGCTAGCGGCAGGCCAATAGTTCTTCTGGGGAAAACTCCATCAGTGGCATAAGACTGATAGGCAATAGTTCCCATGAAATAAGAGCAGCATCAAAGGTGGCTGCTATGCATATAGATATGCACTTTTGTAAAAAAAACGAAATTATAATATTTTGTGTGTGGCACCAGTGTAATCTCTAAGGCCACCTTTATATGAAGCCCCATCTTTTCCCTGTCTTGTTTTTAGAGAAAAATGGGGGCAAAGAGATAGCCATGCAGAGTATGATACGTGCAGAGTGTGATCAGATTTCCTTGGCACACTGAGTAGCCCTGAAATAGACACAAAAAAAAGCAAAGACAACTTTTGTTTTTCTATAAAATCCTGCATCAACTCACTATGTGTACCTAGGAGAATATGCATTATATTCTTTTTTTTTTTTTATTCGAAAGAGAGAGACAAAACTGCAGACAGTCATACAGATGAGTCCTTCTACATACACTATGTACAAGTATAATTTTTTTGGTTTTCCTCTAGAGTTTTCCTCCAATCTTGTATCCCCCTGTGTAAGTGGAAAAAAACTAGACAAAGTCACCTTTCCTTCAATAAGCTAAACTAATTCATCTTCAAGGTTCATATACCCTCTTGGCTTTGTATGGGCTCAGGTGTTTAGGCTGCTGTTTGCCTCAATTAGCAATCCTTGCATTTAAGCATGCCTCAATTCAGCCACTTTCCAGTATCAATTATTCACCATCTCTGAGCAACATGAGAATGTGCTGGTAACAAGTAAAAGGAATTATTAATGTTACATGGGGATTGCCCTGTTTGTTAGTTTCTCTGGATAAGACATGGAAGTAACATTGTCATCTCTGCATGATTGCCTCTTCTAGGTCTCCAGAGGAACTAAGACATGGAGCTCGATTTTGGACACTTTGATGAGCGGGATAAGACTTCGAGGAATGCAAAAACATCTCGGATGAATGGCTTGCCCAGTCCTACACACAGTGCTCACTGCAGTTTTTACAGAACCCGTACCTTGCAGGCCCTCAGTAATGAAAAGAAAGCCAAAAAGGTCCGCTTCTACCGCAACGGCGATCGATACTTCAAGGGGATAGTATATGCTGTCTCTGCTGACCGCTTTAGAAGTTTTGATGCCCTGTTGGCTGACTTGACCAGGTCTCTCTCTGATAACATTAACTTGCCCCAAGGTGTACGCTACATCTACACCATTGATGGAACAATCAAGATTACTAGCATGGATGAACTAGAGGAAGGTAGGTTACTATCTTGTAGTCTTTATTCTCATTTTAAAATACATATTTCTATTTCTACAGCAGCTGGATTTATAAGATTTACAGAATGTTCAGTTACCATGTAACCTCATGAGGTCGCTTGAATTTCTTGTCAAATGACAAATTGCTTTTACAGTCGACACTCATCAGAAGCCTGTTACTTGGATTAGTTCCCCTAACACCAATCAGAGCAAAAATGACATGTATGAATTAAACTCAGCATGTGGGGATTTTATTTCATACAAGCAAAGAATTACATTTCATCATTCAAAACCTCCAAGTTCCTCATTTGCATTATGTTCTTTTTACAAACTGTACTTGTACATCAGCTCTTCTCTGGAAACCTGCAGTATACTACCCTTTGATGCACGCTAAAACATTTTGCTGAGCATGTGATCTTCTCAGACACAATAAATAGTCCCAGTGGTAGATCTGTTACTTCTGTTACATCTTTCACAATATTATTTTAGTCCAGCAATCTCTAGTCGTCAAATAAAATAATGCAGTCCCATGGTAAGAACTTCTGCCTCTCTAGAGGAATCACTTCTGCAATCTGTATTATAACATCCAGCAATTTGCAGTCTAAAATAACATGCTGTATGATTGGTTGCAGTCAGCCTTGAAAAATCTCCACTCCTTCAGTAGTCATGAAATAGGGACTATTCTAAAAAACAAAACAACAAAAAAAAACTAGGTAAGTGTTCTGATACAACATTTTGTTTTCTATTGATAATTATAACAGTCAAAAATAAATAGAAAAAATATTTGTAAGGACAATATATTTCCCTGCAGCATACAATATATATTTAGCTTGCCAGCCCTTAGATGTGGTAGCTGCATTTTTTTCATTTTATTACATTTTCTTTATGCTAAGAACATTTTCTGTAAATACTGGTCCTGTCAGAATTCCAGTGCCCTTGTAGCTTCTGTACACTTTACTGAATTCTCTTGTAATGTTATCAGTTTTTCCATCAATCTTTTGTGAGCTAGAAAACACTCAGGTGAGCAGCTTACACCTACTGACAATGCTGCTCCTTTATACATACAGTACAGTGAGTGAGCTTGTCACCCTAGGACAGCAAGTATGTTACTGGCAGGATCACCTGATGAAAATACAGGAAAAAAAGCCTGAAAAAAAGAAAACTAAAACAGCCACTACTGTACATCTAAGGACTGGTAAGCAGTAATCAATTATTGGTTTTGCACTTAGATACGTTTTAAAAGTGATGCAACATTTTTATGTTTTAGATAGAAGGGAATCCGCCAGGGCCTTCCACACTGAATATTTAGCTAACTCCACCACAATGCAAGTTGTGGGAACCATCTGCTTAAATGTTAAAGTGTATGTAAACCAAGGACAAAAATGTAATATATTGCAGCTTACCAGTCCTACGATGTAGTGGCTGCAATCATTTTCTTTTTTCATTCTTTGAGGGAACTGATAAGATTGTTTGAGATAACACGGCAAAATGCACAGAACAGCACTGGATTTCTGGCAGGACCAACAAATACGTTTGTTTGCACTTAGTAAACAGATATAATACAAAATGCTTTCAATTGTTTTTTTAACAGACCAAAAGGAAGCAAATAGGATAAAATCATTGTAAAGGTGCCCATACACCTTACAATTATCTGCAGATTTTCTGTGGTCAGATGGAAAAAGTGCAACAGATTGACCCAGGTGGAGATTACTCCATCCACACAGTTAAGTGTAGATGGAGGAATCTGTGGCACCTTTTCCATCTGACCACAGAAAATCTGCAGATAATTGTAAGGTGTATGGCCAGCTTTAGAGTTTACATACACTTAAACACAAATTGTGCAAATCAATTTCTCTATCAGGGTTATTCACAAAAGGGTGAAGAGTTTGGAGAAGGCAGGAGAAGTGAACAATCTAGAACAACATAGCTGATTTGGAAAAATTCTCCAATTCAGCTCATGTTCCAGTTAAACTATGTTGTCCTAGACTGTTCACTTCTCCTGTCTTCTCCAAACTCTTCACCCTTTCGTGAATAACCCTGTATGACTTCAAATTTCAGGTTTGTCCTTCTGTCTGTGAACTGTCTCTGTGAGCCAATGCAGGAAATAAGCGGTGCAATGGTCACTGGGAAAATAAGTCACAGACAGCAATAAAGATGCTGTCAGAGGGTCTAGAAGTTTTTTCTCATTGTTATGCTCAGCTCAACTTCAGCTTTATCTACATACTGCAATAACTAAAACAGAAAAAATACAATACTATGCTGGCCAAGCCGGCAATTTCAACCACTTTCATTTATGATTGTAAAAACAACCAAGCAAACAAATTGAACTTACCCCCAACAGTTTCTGACAACACTGTGAAAGGATATAAAGTGTTGGTGGTAGGTTGGCTAGGTCTACCCTGTTGCCTTGCAATTAGAAATTGGTCAAAAGTGGTTACATTTGCCTGCTAATTATGTACCTACTATTAGAACACAGTTTGCATTCAAACAGCAGGTGAGCACCAAATACACACTTTAAGAATCTAGGACATGTTTTGGGGGCTCAACAATCCCCTTTATCAGTGTTTAAGCAATTCATTGAACAAATTTAAAAGTATATTAATTTAAGAGCTTAAATATAGAAAATGAACTGCGCCAATAAGCAAGCTAACAGCTACAAGGCACTAGAATGTACACCCACTGTGAGTGTGTATACGTGAAAAAAAAATAAGTAAATGTGCCGAGCTCCAACAATGAGCCACCATTTGTTTGAGTCACTGTTTTTTTATACTCTTTATATCTGATCATTGTTGGAGCTCGGCACATTTACTTATTTAACTCAAGAGCTTGTGCTTGTTTTTCAAAGCCAAAATGGGTAGTCAGTGGGTGTCATCAATAGACAGCTTTCCAGGCAAAGCTGTCTATTGAATACACCCACTACCTATTTTTTTTACAAACTGGGTGACCCCTGGATTCCGAGCGAACCCAGTTGTTGTGGGTAGCTGCCTTACCCAGGCCATTGGGCCAAAACATAAACACTCCACCAACCACCTAGAAAACTGGGTCCAGAGCCTCGATTTTACCTTCTCTTTAATTACCATTAGATCTCAAGGCACAGTTGTAGACAGGGGTCAGTCTTTGGGTTGTCTGTGTTTGCTGAGGTCTAAAGATATATTTCAATCTGATAAGCTGAAATTGTTAAGGAATGGCTAACATTTATGCTATGTCCATGGGCAATTTATAACTAGATTAGTAGTTTTTCAGTTTAGATTATTAGAAAAGCTCAACAAACCTGAAAGACGGTTATGTCCCCCATTTGCTGTAATACATTTTCTTGCACAAATGGCCCTTTTACTAACAAACACTTACGGAGATTCATATGGGAAAGATTTTCCCTGAGTCTTAATCTGTTACTGGCCAGAGGGCCCAGGTGCCTCTCTGGCCATTAATTTGTGTACTGCTGACACAGCAGCTGACTCCCCAGGTCCCCAGGGTGAAGTATCAGATGTTTAAATAGGGTTTATCTGAAGCAAATTAAGTTATAACATATATTTTAATGGAGAGGTTTAAAAAAAAATATGGATTCCTGTACCACTATTATGTATTCAATAGGTCTGATAAAGCAGAGCAGGGGACACGTGTCTGTGCTTCCTATAGCAACCAAAAACACATTGGTTCATGCTTTTAAACCAGAGAAATAGCATTTAGAATGTTATTGGTTATGGCTGAAAAAGACATAGAAGACAAGGTGGAAAATAGACCCATGCCTATAAAGTTCAACATTTTATAAATGCAGCAATGTTGGTTCTCAGGAAGGCAGAGCAAAAGTATGACCTATACAACTGCAAATGTGGAAAATGTTATTTCCTGACCCAACATACACATTGTATCAATACCATGGTATTTCCTCCTCTCTTTTAGTTATTATAACACTACTAACAGTTGTGAGGAAAGTGTTTTTTTAATTCTCTTATTGATTTTGCAATCATTACCTTATATAGTAAGGCAATCAACAGCTTAGTCACTTTTACTGTAAACAACACAATACACCATTAATGTCCTCCTGTCCTTTGTACAGTTCTTAGAATAACACATTAATTTGGCAGATCTCCAATCTCTTTTATTACCTTAGGGGCTCATTTATAATGGTGAATATCACTCACCGTACACTATTATACATTGATGCACTACACACACAGCGACCATGTCTCCACATTTTATGGCTCATTTATAAAATGAAGGTTGTGGTATGTAGCTGGAGGAGCCCCACGGAGTTCTCTCTGCTTGGCACAGCAGAGAGAGCCCCAAGATTGCAGGGTAACTGATCATAAAACTTTGACAAGTCGCATGACCAGGCTCTCCTACCAGCATTGTTTTACCTAAAAATTCAACATATATGTAATAGTGCTCGAATGGCTTCAGTATTACTGAAAATAGCGGAGTGCTAGCACATTTATAAAGCACATCACTGTGAAATGTAAAGACCTACTCAATATCTGGAAGTCCTGGTTCCAACGTATAGCAGCTATCAAAATTATACATCTTCCTTAGCTATTATATGCAGTTAGAGTCCTTCCTGTTCACAACCCTCCTCACGCCCTCAGAATTGTACAAAGAGAAATTCATCAATTCCTCTGGGCAAACAAGAAACCAAGAAGTTGATTTACTTAAGGCAAATAGGTTGTTAACTTTGCAAGGGAATTTGCATTCTACTACATACAAGCAAAAATATATATTTTTTTATTTTCCTTTCATATGATTGGGTATTCTTTGCAAAGTGAAATTTCACCACATTCACCAACCTAATGGAAACATCCCATGCAAAGTACGAATTCCCTTGAAAAATGAACAGCCTATTTGCCTTTAGTTAATCAACCCCCAAGAATACCCAAACTGATGACTTACTTACAGAAACTGTCTGGGGGCCAGGAAGTACCTCATTCCATAATATTCATAAATTATCAGATCTTCCAACCTAACTCAATAAAATATAATTCCACTTATGAAACCATGTTTATGGTC